TGTTAATCCCTTTTAAGGCTCCTCTTCAAATCCCATCTTTCAATCAATGTGGGATTAATTTCACATACACAAGTGAAAATTCATTTGCCAAATAATATATTTTCCAACAGTAATCCCTTATGTTTTCTTTACCCTTGTACTTTAGTAAAATTAAGTTCGCTAAAAGGCATGCTAGTTTCGACTTTATTGTCTTTTGAAAAACAGTTTTGAATTTCATTAAGAAACTCCTTGGCAGTAGTTGACTTAGCACCCCTAAAAGTTACTGGAATATAATTGATTAGTTGACGATATTATAGATGTAGATAGATTAACCGAATAGAGAACTTAAACCTAAATAACATGTTCACGTAGGAATCCGTATTGGACAATAAATAAGTTCAAATAATTGTGAACCTCATCACAAGAGATCGAGCACAACATTGATATTTAGTTTTAGGACATAAATATCAACTTGTAAGTGACACTCTTGATGTAGTAATCAAATATTGACAATAAATTCGGTCAAACATCAATTCTATCTTTAGATTGACTCAATATTCACATAATAGAAAAATTTACAATTGTCACATATTTATCACCACATGTGTGTAAATAATTCGATCAAATATTAACCTTCCTTTGGGCCGATTAATACCCGCATAAATTACATACATACAACTTTTCTAATATTCCAAATAAATTAATTTAGATAAGAGATGTTACTTTGGTAACATGTTGTTTGAACTAATTTATTTTAGAAAATTAGTAATCTGAAACAAACTTGAAATACTAAGATTTGAAATTGATTGCTCCTTTAATCTTTTAATTTTTTTTCACAAAAAATAATAGAATAATAATATTAAAAAAACAGCAATTCCGGGCTCACCTGGAAGTGGGCGCTGTAGCGCCGAAAATCAATTGCCTAGACAACTGCTGAAACAATAAATCTTGTTTTCCTTTTATCAATCAATCAAAGGGCGCACAACCCCATTATCCACTGTCCCATTTAGTACCAGATAGCCTTTTGTAACCGCTCGATTTCTGACTAATCCACTGAATCCCATGAAAATTTTCCAATAAAACAATCAACAATTGTCCATATCCTTGTGATCCGAGGAACCCTTAATTCCAAATCCATTAATCAACCTTTTGTCACACAGAATTCTGTGCCAATAAATCTTGGAAACTTATCATAATTAATTCAAACACTTTTTTTTTAATTTCATCAAGAAACTCCAATTTTTTTAATTAAAATTCCAAAAAAAAAAAAAAATCCGAATCTTTAAAATTCACATCCCAAAATTTAATGCATGAATTTCAACCATAAAGTTCTTCCTTAAATTTTAATGGTTTAACCCGGAGTTGGCTCTGATACCACTGGGTGAAGAACTCTTATTAAAATCAAGAGTTATGCTACAACCTAATGTTTGGAGCCGCCACTTGTCAATTCGGTAAAACATTATGTATGTGTAGCATAACTCTTGAGGGTTAATAAGAGTTCTTTAGGGTTTGATGGTTTGTTTGGAATATTGGAAGAGCTAATCAATTTAAAAGTGGAGTGTCATTGGGTAGGTAAATTTTAGATTTGATTAAAAAGTGTAATTATCAACAAGCATAAAATGTAGGGTATATATTATTATTATTATTATTATTATTATTTTCCTACAATATATAAAAGAACAAAGTTTGTTACTATTCATAAGGCATCATCTTTGTATCATGTTGATGTCATATGTACTAATTTTACTTTTTTCATTTCTTCCTCTCAAGTACTACGTAGTTTTCTTATCACGGAACAGGGTTTCTCCATTTCTCCACACAAACTCCTGTACATCTTTACTCATATCTTTACACAACCATTCAAGACTTGTTTTTTTTTCTTCTCTCTTTACTATTTATTGTTTAATTTAGCCGGTCTTTTCAATTTGCATTTCCTTAAATCTTATTTTCTCCTCTATTATTTTTTCTCTTTACTTCTCATATCCCCTTTCACTTTCTCTCCATCGTTGTTCTTACTGCCCATTTGAAATCAAACCATATGTAACAAAATCACAAATTATTTTCACTATTTGTTCTTCTCTATGATTCAATCATCATGTATTCCCTTCGATGAACATTTTTTTTTTTGGAGCTTCTTCATTTCTTCACATGATTGGAACCCTGTCTCCCAAATTTCAATCGATGCTATCGTGTTCGCTTCTTCTTTTCTTAAAATCAAAAAACCCTGCAGTTACTGAAATCAGATGTACGTTTTTAAATCTTCGATTAAGTGTGTTATTTAAGTCCACCAGTGA